AGAAGTTGATTACACACACATACCACACACACACACACACACACACACACTTTTCTCAGTTCTGTGCACAAACTGAGCACATCTAATAGATGTGATGAGTAGGCTCAGGCAGATGCAGCTGTGGCAGGTCAATGTTAGCAGGCCACGATGCCATCTTTGTACCTAGTCTGATATAGTACCTTAAGCCACTAATGAAATTCTGGGCTTGTACTCCACTTTGTGGGCTGTGATGGTAGAGGTGGCACAGGCAGACGTTTACTCCTGTAATCTGTGTTACAGGATGACAATTTCTGGCAGTAGATTGGGTGCCTGGATCTGTAGTGTCATAAACCACTATTTATATGCCAGATTCCTAAGCACCCTTCACAATATATGGGCTTTGAGTACTGTGGTTGCAATGTTGTGAATTTTAGCTTATTTTTTAGTAGAATGTTAATGTTGTTTTATTAGTCAGAGGAGAGGAATCCCACTAAACTACGTCCTTCACTCAAGCCATAATTGGATAGTCTAAAATCATAAATGTTCAGCTTCTATTCTACCATAGTGTATCTAAAAAGAGGCCTTAGAAATACATGTCTCCGTGTTCAGTCAGCCTGTGTTTTGGGTGGCAGATAATAAATAAAAATATAAAAATATAAAAATAAAGTGTTCTGTATACCCACGTAATTAGGGGACCGTTGCAAAGTGAGACTCTTAAGATTGACGAAAGCAGATTTCATCATGAATCTGTATGAAGCTTGGTGGGGCAGTGATACAGCAGAAAACAGTGTCCAAAGTAGAAAACCCTGAACTTCATTAGTAAGAGCAGAATTTCTCTGACTTATCTCTAATGGCCCTGCTGTGTTATGTGATAGACTTTCAATAGACGTTTGTCAGATTTTGGTTTTGTTGTTGTTAAATTGTGTCTGGTGGTTTCACATAAAAGTTTTGTTTATTTTATGAGCTTGTAAAGGCAAGAAGATAACTCGGAAATCAACTGGACAGTGTCAGTGCACTGCAGCTATAGTTGATACTTTAGATGTTGATTATTTAAGGTATAATATTTGTGGAAATTAAAACAGCTACTTTCATCATGTCTTTCAGTTTCATCTTTTCATATATTTATTTGAATTAGTTTACAAAGTCAAAAGTTTAGGATTATGGAAGTATTGATATATTGGCTAAATGTAACTTCTAATAAATCTTTACCTAATGGTAATTTTGCTTTGAGTTTGAGAGATATTTGAAGGAATACACTGTATTGCTTTCAGTGCAGTTTTTTCTGATCTTCTAAAGGATTTTTTTTTTTACAAGCACTTAATTTTAAATTCTGTGTAAGATGAGGTTTATAATGCAACCCTTTAATTTCCATGTTGCTGAAAACCTTGTGAGTATTAAGCATTGCACCTTTGTTGTTATAATTACTGTCCCAGTTGGGGTGTAAAAATAGGTCTATGAGAGATTACACTGATCCAAGTGGTATATATGATAGGTGAAGGGCAAAGCTTGGAATGCAAACAGATCCAGAGTCCTTGTCGCCCCCTTTGTAGGTTAAAAGTGTAAAGGTATCAGATTTAATGAGTGGGTATTACAAGTAGGCAGTTATTTTCTGGTTAATTATAATTAAAATCAGAGGAGCCAGTACTTCAAGGAGAAGCATTGAGTCACTTATCTAGTTCTATTAAGTCTTTGCATTCCAGTGTATGAAAAAACTTTAAATTGATCAAAGGTGAGCCTTAAAAAAAGAAGCCCAAAGAAAAACAGATGGTCCTTTCTTCCTGGAACCATAGCTTTGGCTTGATAAATTGCGTGCAGTAAAGTTTTCAAAAAGAGGAATTACATTTCAGTAATCTCAATTTCAGAAACATTCTTGCAG